AACCTTAGGCAATAAATATGCACATTTTGTTTACATATATATATATATATATATATATATATATATATATATATATATATATATATATATATATTTATCCTTAGCAAGTAAAACTGTGCCATTGTAAACAATGTAAACAAATGAAACTCACTTCTCTTCCACCATGTTATAAACCATGTTAGAGACTATCGGGTTACCCCATCTTAAGAGATCCTCACATAGGGTTTGGTTGGTTTATGAAAACCAGGCAGTTTGCAGCATTATATATACATACCATTGGAAAACGTGGCGATGGATGACGTTGCCCATGGATGCTGATCTAAGATCAGTTTAGCGTTTTCCCCTCCTTATGGTTATGGTTAGGATTGGGGGAGGTAAGATCTGTGCCCATGGGAAACCTCTACCCAGATTGGAGAACTCAAGCTCTCTCTCTCTCTAAGCAATGGCGTCTGGGGTACAACACACTAATACAGAACCAGGCAGACACCCTTCAGACAGACAGGCAGGCAGGCAGGCAGACACTCTTCAGACAGACACACAGACACAGACAGACATCCTTCAGACAGACACACAGAGACAGACAGCACACTCATACAGAACCAGGCAGACACCCTTCAGACAGAAAGACACACAGAGACAGACTGCACACACATACAGCCTGGGTACTGAAGCCATGAGTGTGACCTGCAGTGAGGAACATCAGCTCAGATTAAAGCACACAGAGCTGGAAACACAGACATACAGTACATAGCCGCAGGAAGTAGTTTGGGGGTGGGGGTGCTGTGGCGATGCTGGAAACAAATGTTGGGCCGGGTTACAGACGGCTATATCGGTCCGCTAATACAGGACTAGTAAAGGCCCAGTGCACTAGTTTTGTAGAAAAAAACAAATATTTTTGTATTTATATTTTTCTTTTACTTCTGATTTTTCAGGTGGTGCTGCAGCACCCTCAGCACCCCTACTTACGGTGGCTATGCAGACATAAACTACCTAGATTGCACTTGAATTCAGACTACTGAAAATGTGTTTTTAATATAAATACAGAACTATGTATTCCAAGGTTAAACCACTCTGAGAACAAGAGCTAGGACTTAAAAAACATCTATCTATGTCTGTGAAACCAGCAAATACCTAAACCACTTAAGCCACATTTCCATTGGCACTTTGAAATCAACCCAGGTTGGGCTGGCCCACAAATGTGAAATGATGTCATGTAGCTAGGTAGCCAATATGTGACTGCAGCTGGCTTCGCTAATGTTGCTAGCAAGATGTTGAAGAATTTAATTCACCCTCACCATGCTGTAACCAACGTTACCCCATACTCCTGCCAGTGCCAGCCAGACTCAGAGCCATGTATTTAGCTTGCTGACGTTAGCCAGCTAGCTAAACAGTTAGCATCATCGCTAGCATAACAGGCTAGCTAGCTAGCTTCATTCCTACCTTGCTTGCCATGGCATTGGCTATTAGCTAGCTAGCTAACCAAGCAAACCAGACGACAGCTTTGATATTATGTAGCTGGCTTTCAATACGACCTGGCCAGCTAAAATTCCTGCTAGCTAAAATTCCTGCTAGCTCACATTAGCTAGCTAGCTTGTTTAAACTCTGATTTGCTAGCTAACGTTAGGTAACTATCATTCGAGGGCTGACTGTTCTCATAAAAGTTTATTGTGTAGTGCAAAAATGAATGAATGATCCAGCTATGGTGGTAATTCATGTCATGTCTGACTACTGCAATACTGCTTGTCCATGTGCTAGCTAACAGTAACAAGCCCAGAGGAGCTAGCTAATGTTGTGTCAGCATCCAGCAGGGATCAGCTTGGTGGTTGCATAGTAATGGTGTCACCAGACCGAATTCTAACCAGTTGTGAACCTGAGCTGCGCAGACCCGGATTTCCCTCGACCCAGCTCGAATTTGAGAATCCCATTAGAGCCAGCTCGATTTTTGCCCTAATTTGGCACTAATTTTAAGTGCCAGTGGAAAGACAAGACACATAACTGATTATCAAGAACTATGGCTTGGGTACTTAGGATTTCAAAAAAGATTGAATGTTCAGAATGTTTAATTCATATCTTTGGTTAGGAACCTAGCTAGCTTGGGGCTATGTTTTTTTTCTTCTTCATAACAATCATACTTGCAATAAAGCACATTTATTTTGTCTAGACTATTTACTAAGGTAGGATTTAGATGCTCCTGGCATGGTTCTAAATTCAAACTTCTTTCATCAAAGAGGTTAATGTTTCAGGGGATTTAAAGGCCTCGTGATTTGGGTTTCATGTTAGAAAAAAATTATACTTGGTTGTGAGCATAAGCAACGATAGTATGCTTCTTGATAATGTGAATTCTCTTGATAGGCCACCAAAAGAGAGGTGGGTGGGATGGCATCCAAAAGAGGAATAATGTAGGTAATGCTTTATTTTACAGTCCTTTATATACTGCGAAATGATGGAGTAAAAGATACATGCTACTTTCTGGTGCTTACTCCAAATAAGAGAACACAATTGGTAACTAACTGGTACGGATTAATTGTTTTCTCAATCCCAAAGAAGCCAAAATGTAATTATCATGCAAACGTGATATAACTTCCTATTTCCATTTTGTTAATTGATATTATGTTACAGGAGGACTATAAAATGAAGCAAGCCACAATCCTGATATGAACAGTTTTGTTGAGGTAAAATATAATCAAAAAGAAGACTTGATGATATAAGATCATTGATAACATACAGTTGATGCTAAGTATTTAGCTGATGCAAATGAACATACAAGGGCTCTTAGATAAATTACATAAAGCATTGAACAACAGTCAGGTCTGCCCGTTCAACAGTCTCACATACAGTCAGTAACACGGTCTATTATTTCCTCCAACCTGCTTTGAGAATCATCCTGGAAGCACAGAGGAACAAGACTAAAAACCAGTGAGTTGTTGGAAGAAGTTTGAATGAAAATGAACTAGTAAGAAACGCTATTTCGTTTAAAAGTCGGTCAGTGTATACAAAACCCTTTGGGTTTTTCCCACAGCGAAACATCACGTCAGAAAGACTATCAAAACCAATATAATATTGCACCTCCGTTAGAATACAACAGCATTAAACAAAAACAGGAGAGATTATCCTATTCAACAAAATCAATAATCCACAATTGGTGTTCATGGTGCAAATCAATAGACATGGTCATCAAAACGTGTTAGCTGTTGACACTGTATGTCATGTCAGTAATCTACAAAGGCATTGGACTACAAAAGCTACTAACAGTGTATGCATACACTGGTTTAGATTGTATATATTCAGTGCATATATTGTATATGCATACTTAGCATCACATATATAAGTATACCCTGTAATGCCACCAACCTAACAAAAGAGTGTCCTATTAACATTATATGTCACACTGAGCAACTAAAGCTGCACTTTCTCCTGTTGCAGATGAGCTGCTCAATCTTATTCTTAAATCAACATATAACTCCTATTCCCACTACCATAGTGTTACTCTGTGAAATATTGAGTGTTTAAATGCTAGGGATTGTGGTGAATTGTATCTAGTGATATGAGGATGTAACTTTGCAAATAGCAAAAGGGAAAAGTGCATGTCAAGTATTCCATAAAAATATGAAATTGTTGGCTTACAACTAGGGTTGCAAAATTCCGGGAACTTCAAATAAATTCCCTGGTTTCCCGAAATCCCGGTTGGAGGATTTCCGGATTCAGAAGATAATAAGCAGGAAATCCGGACCCTACAACCAAGATTTCTGGGAAACCAGGGAATTTATAGAAAGTTCCTAGAATTCTGTAACCCAGCTTATAACACTCCCTCTATATGTAACTGATATTTATCCCAAACATTATGTTATTTTCACTACTTTCAAAGTTAACATTTATGTTTGGAAGTGTATTGGACATTCACTTTGGTACTGATTTTCACATCAAAAGAAAATGTGTCAAATGACAAAATATAACTCCTAATACTTAATCTAATAATTTGTCCTAAATTCTGATGTTCTCTTACCAATAAAGCACATTTTACAATAAAATGACTAAAATATGGCACAAGACACAGGTCCTTGACACAGAATTATCATGCAAGAACAAATAAATAAAAATTATTAACAAAAAAGGTTGATTCAAACGAAAATGATGCTTTCAGTAGTAACAAATGGCATTACTAAAGTCATATAAAAAAAAAACTTGTTCAAGTGTTATCTTTTTACACAAACAAACCAAGACACTAATTTTGCAATTCAAAATAGATATCCAAAGTCAAGCTAGCATAGCATGCAACATATGTCTCACTGTTTTCAGAAACCTCCCTTCACTCGCTTTAGGTTGTGACATTGCATCTCCTTCTCCCAGGGCACATCTGTAATCACACCCTGTTCCCTACATAGTGCACCCCTTAAAAGTAGTGCCCAACATAGGGAAGAGGGTGCTATTTGGGACATTACCTATCTCCTCTGGTGTAAACAGCGAAAGCAGGATACTGCAGACTGTATCGTTGCATCTGTAGCCTTCTACTGCCAGGCAACGAGCCAGTAAGCTAATCACAAAGCCGCACGGTATTGTAGTGACTGTACTGAACTGTACACACTCACAGAACACTGTTAGGGAACACTCATGGAAGTCACCTTGTTGCTACTTGAATTGGGCCTTCTTATGAGGCCAGACGACCAAAACAACTCTTATAATGACGATCAGTTGCATACCTGATTGTGCCATGAATGGTAATATGATTTGAGAAAAATTGCTTTTTTTGTGAAGATCCATGGCTTCCTTCTTTGCACTGTCAACAACTGTAGAGTTCCGTCTTCCATTTTGGCGCCAAACACAGTCTCACTAAAACATTACAGTTCTAAAACTTCTCACCAACAGCTTTCTTAAATCCATCCAAAGGATCAAATCCATCCATCCACCCCAAGATGCCAGGCGTTCAGCTCTCCCTGCGGAGCTCCCAAACTCTTCCTCTGTGGCGGAAGGGCACTTCCTCTCCGGCACCAACTACTTCTGGGTTAGAGGTCAACCATGGCGGTCTTGGCCAGATCCTTAGTTCCCTGGAGAATTCTCTTCATATGACCCACTTTCGATATCCCCAGATCCTGTGGACAGCAGACGACATCTTAAGAACATTGATTCTCCTAATTGTATATTTATTTAATGGAAATCGTTTTATTTAATAGCTTCCTTTTTAATCACTACGCTAATTCTGTTTTATGGTTTTTACATTGAATTGTCTTTTTTTTGGTACTATTTCGTACCCTGTTGTTTTACGTCTTGGTCACCCTGTACTGCAACACCTATTTTGCTCACTTAACCCATCTAAGCCCTGTCTAAGCCGGGGGAGGGGTGGAGGGGGCGGGGGTGGTGATCACACCAAGGATCATTAGGTATTTGATTTAGAATTTTAAGAGCCCTTGAAGTATAAAAAAAAAATACATTTTTGGGGGTCTTACTGCTATTAGTCCATACAAATGCATGTAACAACAGATTCACTACATGGAATAAAAGATAGTCCCAAAAAAATATAAAAATAAAGTTCTGAAGTGTCTCTCCTATATCTGAGAGATATAAGAACGATCAGGATTTTTTGTACAGAACGTGGGCGTTTATCCCTTACTTAATACTTTTATGCTGCAATTATTTCTACAGACTAAGAAAAGCATTATAAAGACTTCTTACATGTACATGACAAGTCTTACAATTGTAACTGTAAGTGTTACGTAAAGTGTTACCATGTTTCTAAATAGGATCAATTACAATTATGTAATAGCGTTTAGGAAAAAAACATTAACTTCCAATGATGCTTTTTCGCCAGATAATGGTGGTTTTGCCATAGAAATGGAGGGGACAGATTTGGAATGAGGGGACACACACACAGCGAAACACTGGCACAGTCCAAGGTATGGTAGGCCTGTCGCTCGTATGGATGAGTGCACGTCTATTACTGTCCTCCCCTCGCTTTGCCCTCGTTCACTCCACCTACTGTAGATCCATTAGGATCGTTGGTCCATGAAACTCTGATAAACAATGTGTTTTTGAAATAGAACAATGTAAATGACACTCCATCATCTGTAAGGAGGTTATGGGGTAATGAGTGTGCAGTGGGATATCCCTGGGGTGTATCATTATAATATAATAATAATATGCCATTTAGCAGACGCTTTTATCCAAAGCGACTTACAGTCATGCGTGCATACATTTTTGCGTATGGGTGGTCCCGGGGATCGAACCCACTACCTTGGCGTTACAAGCGCCGTGCTCTACCAGCTGAGCTACAGTCGGATTCCGTTGCAAAACCGTTTACTCCAAACGGAAAACATTTTGCAATGAAAACGAGAGTTTCTATTGGACAAATTCAGGTACGTCCTTCCCTGTTTGCTTCTGTTTGGTTCAGTTGGTTTCTTAATTCCATTCTTTTATTTTTTTTAGATTACTGTTGTGTTTTGTTAGATATTACTGCACTGTTGGAGCTAGGAACACAAGCATTTCGCTACACCCGCAATAACATCTGCTAAATATGTGTATGCGACCAATAGAATTTGATTTGCTATGATTTAGCTTACACGTTAAACGGTTTCAGTTGCAAACTGTTTTGCCACAGACAAAACGTTTTGCAAATGGAATCTGACGAATTAATACACCTCTTGTTTCTCCCTGAGGTATTTTCTCAGTATGGAGTCAACATTGAACATCTTTCTCCTTTAACTCCAAGTAAATGCCACCTATGTTCAGCAGCACTCCAAAGGGCATGTCCACTCACACCCCTGGGGTCAGCACTACTGGGAGTTGTTGTGCATCTGTCCATGAACAGCGTCTCTTTGTCGGTCCTACCTAAAACAGCTTCTTGTCTCGGTCTATGGTACCACCCTAACCCCAGCTCCAACCCTCCCTCACCCAACCTTCCTGAGCAGTCCCACTCCCATAGCCCCTCCTCCCCTACACCACCCCCCCCAGCCCTCCCTCCCCTTACCCCATTTCCCCAGCCCTGTCCCGTTCCCGTTCCAAGTTCACACACAGTACCAGTGGAGACTGAGGGGTTAGTGAGTTACAGCCAGTCTCCTGCGGTAGGTAAGCAACACTCTCACACACAGAAGAAGCCAAGCAGAGCAGTGCAGCACAGAGCAGCAAACAGGGAGACAGCTAACGGCCAACAGAACCAGAGAGAAAGAGATGGAGAGAACCAGAGAGAAAGAGATGGAGAGAACCAGAGAGGAAGAGAGAAAGAGAGTTGATCTGGGGATAGATGAAGTAACAGGGTGTGTGTGTGTGTGTGTGTGTGTGTGTGTGTGTGTGTGTGTGTGTGTGTATGCCTTAGCGCGTGTGTGTGTGTGTTATATTTGTATGTGTGTGTGTGTGTTATGTTTGAGTGTGTGTGTTATGTTTGTGTGTTTGTGTGTGTGCCTGTGTGTATACCTTCAGGTCCCTTCTCTCCAGGTGCAGCAGTTCAGAGCCTCTGATGTCATGGCGTGTGAAGGTGTCTCTGTACTCTCCCAGACTGAGCTGCTCCAGCCAGACTCCTACCTCCTCTGTACCCCATCTCTCCACTACATACACAGACAGTACACAGAGCAAGAAGGCGCTCGCTCAGTGTCTGAGACCCTCTCTCTCACACACATACACACAAATATATGATGCACACCCACATCCAAACGCACATACACTCATATATATACACACACACAATCAGAGAGAGGAAATCCCAATAGAGGGATGGGAAGACAGGGAGAGGTAGAGGGAGAAAGGAAAGGAGGGAGGAGAGGCGGTAGCGGCTGGCGGAAAAAGAGGAGGGGTTAACATAGATGTTGGAGGTTGGTTGGTCGGAAACAGCTGTGGCCAATGGCCTTCCAGAGAGGCTGAGGGCATGCAGGTTATCCACCAATCAGAACACAGACGTACAGGAAGTAGGAGGGAGAAGGAGGTGGAAGCCTGTGCAACCTGAAGGAACGTCTCACCCAATCAACACCCTGCCCTGCCTCACTGTGGGCGGGACTAACACTCCCGACCAATCAGACGGGGTCCTGAAGCAGAGGAACGGCCAACTCCTGCAATTCTACTTGTCTCCATTCTATTCTCTCTTATTCCACACCAAAACAAAGTCCTTTCTGAGACGACCTGCATTCTGTATTATAATCTAGATTGAAGAGTGCAGCTGCAGCATTCAATAGAAATGGCTGGTTTTCATGTTCAATTGGTAGTAATATTCATAAACATACAGTCAAAAAAATGCTTTTTTCATGTTCAATTGGTAGTAATATCAATAAACAAATGTAGCAATATTCGGTTGTATCAGTCGTCATGAAGGAGAAATGGTGTTCTAATACACACATTTTCTTTCTCTGGGAAACCCCTGGGTTTTTGGCCCTGTGTCCAGCCCCCTCCCCCTGTCTTTGGCCTTGGTTTGTGCCTGCTGTACATGTGTAGACAGGTGGATAAGACCATGAACAGAAGGAAGAGGGGTGCTCTTGGATGGCTGGGTCAGACTGAGGACCAGGGCAGAAAAGAAAACACAGAGACAATCCCTGACACCACACTGGGTGGTTATAATGCATTACAACCACTAAATGTAGGCCACATAGAGACCTTAAAGATCTTAGTTCTAACTAAAAAGTAAACAACAATGTATGTTTGTGTGCATGTGTGTGTGGTACGTACACTCTTAGAAAAAAGGGTTCCAAAAGGGTTCCAAAAAGGTTCCAAAAGGGTTCCAAAAGGGTTCTTCGGCTGTCCCATTAGGTTAACCCTCTTGAATCCAGATAGAACCCTTTTGGGTTCCATGTAGAACTCTCTGTGGAAAGGGTTGTACATGGAACCCAAAAGGTTTCTACCTGGAATCCAAAAGGGTTCTACCTGGAACCAAAAAGGGATCTTTAAAAGGTGATCCAATGGGCCACAGCCGAAGAACCCTTTTTAGGTTCTAGACAGCACCTTTTTTTTCTAAGAGCGTACTGTCTATGTGAAGCCTGTGGAGAGACTAAAAGACTAACACTGACCGGACTGAGGGCAGGTCTTCTTGGTAGCTTTCTCTTTCTTGAACTTTGGCACGATCTGAACATGCTGCTACGACTGCTGCTCTTGCCATACTCTAACGAGGGGTCCTGAGAGGAACACAGGTGTAGGATTAGAAGTGTGTGTGTGTTCTCACCTCATCTTCATTAGGCTGCAGTATATGGTATAACCAGGGAATATCTACTAGTGTGTGTGTGTTCTCACCTCATGTTCATTAGGCTGCAGTATATGGTATAACCAGGGAATATCTACTAGTGTGTGTGTGTTCTCACCTCATGTTCATTAGGCTGCAGTATATGGTATAACCAGGGAATATCTACTAGTGTGTGTGTGTTCTCACCTCATGTTCATTAGGCTGCAGTATATGGTATAACCAGGGAATATCTACTAGTGTGTGTGTGTTCTCACCTCATGTTCATTAGGCTGCAGTATATGGTATAACCAGGGAATATCTACTAGAGTGTGTGTGTTCTCACCTCATCTTCATTAGGCTGCAGTATATGGTATAACCAGGGAATATCTACTAGTGTGTGTGTGTTCTCACCTCATCTTCATTAGGCTGCAGTATATGGTATAACCAGGGAATATCTACTAGTGTGTGTGTGTTCTCACCTCATCTTCATTAGGCTGCAGTATATGGTATAACCAGGGAATATCTACTAGTGTGTGTGTGTTCTCACCTCATCTTCATTAGGCTGCAGTATATGGTATAACCAGGGAATATCTACTAGTGTGTGTGTGTTCTCACCTCATCTTCATTAGGCTGCAGTATATGGTATAACCAGGGAATATCTACTAGTGTGTGTGTGTTCTCACCTCATCTTCATTAGGCTGCAGTATATGGTATAACCAGGGAATATCTACTAGTGTGTGTGTGTTCTCACCTCATCTTCATGAGGCTGCAGTATATGGTATAACCAGGGAATATCTACTAGTGTGTGTGTGTTCTCACCTCATCTTCATTAGGCTGCAGTATATGGTATAACCAGGGAATATCTACTAGTGTGTGTGTGTTCTCACCTCATCTTCATTAGGCTGCAGTATATGGTATAACCAGGGAATATCTACTAGTGTGTGTGTGTTCTCACCTCATCTTCATGAGGCTGCAGTATATGGTATAACCAGGGAATATCTACTAGTGTGTGTGTTTCTCACCTCATCTTCATTAGGCTGCAGTATATGGTATAACCAGGGAATATCTACTAGTGTGTGTGTGTTCTCACCTCATCTTCATTAGGCTGCAGTATATGGTATAACCAGGGAATATCTACTAGTGTGTGTGTGTTCTCACCTCATGTTCATTAGGCTGCAGTATATGGTATAACCAGGGAATATCTACTAGTGTGTGTGTGTTCTCACCTCATCTTCATTAGGCTGCAGTATATGGTATAACCAGGAATATCTACTAGTGTGTGTGTGTTCTCACCTCATGTTCATTAGGCTGCAGTATATGGTATAACCAGGGAATATCTACTAGAGTGTGTGTGTTCTCACCTCATCTTCATTAGGCTGCAGTATATGGTATAACCAGGGAATATCTACTAGTGTGTGTGTGTTCTCACCTCATCTTCATTAGGCTGCAGTATATGGTATAACCAGGGAATATCTACTAGTGTGTGTGTGTTCTCACCTCATCTTCATTAGGCTGCAGTATATGGTATAACCAGGGAATATCTACTAGTGTGTGTGTGTTCTCACCTCATGTTCATTAGGCTGCAGTATATGGTATAACCAGGGAATATCTACTAGTGTGTGTGTGTTCTCACCTCATTTTCATTAGGCTGCAGTATATGGTATAACCAGGGAATATCTACTAGTGTGTGTGTGTTCTCACCTCATCTTCATAAGGCTGCAGTATATGGTATAACCAGGGAATATCTACTAGTGTGTGTGTGTTCTCACCTCATCTTCATGAGGCTGCAGTATATGGTATAACCAGGGAATATCTACTAGTGTGTGTGTGTTCTCACCTCATCTTCATTAGGCTGCAGTATATGGTATAACCAGGGAATATCTACTAGTGTGTGTGTGTTCTCACCTCATCTTCATTAGGCTGCAGTATATGGTATAACCAGGGAATATCTACTAGTGTGTGTGTGTTCTCACCTCATCTTCATTAGGCTGCAGTATATGGTATAACCAGGGAATATCTACTAGTGTGTGTGTGTTCTCACCTCATCTTCATTAGGCTGCAGTATATGGTATAACCAGGGAATATCTACTAGTGTGTGTGTGTTCTCACCTCATCTTCATTAGGCTGCAGTATATGGTATAACCAGGGAATATCTACTAGTGTGTGTGTGTTCTCACCTCATCTTCATTAGGCTGCAGTATATGGTATAACCAGGGAATATCTACTAGTGTGTGTGTGTTCTCACCTCATGTTCATTAGGCTGCAGTATATGGTATAACCAGGGAATATCTACTAGTGTGTGTGTGTTCTCACCTCATCTTCATTAGGCTGCAGTATATGGTATAACCAGGGAATATCTACTAGTGTGTGTGTGTTCTCACCTCATGTTCATTAGGCTGCAGTATATGGTATAACCAGGGAATATCTACTAGAGTGTGTGTGTTCTCACCTCATCTTCATTAGGCTGCAGTATATGGTATAACCAGGGAATATCTACTAGTGTGTGTGTGTTCTCACCTCATCTTCATTAGGCTGCAGTATATGGTATAACCAGGGAATATCTACTAGTGTGTGTGTGTTCTCACCTCATCTTCATTAGGCTGCAGTATATGGTATAACCAGGGAATATCTACTAGTGTGTGTGTGTTCTCACCTCATCTTCATTAGGCTGCAGTATATGGTATAACCAGGGAATATCTACTAGTGTGTGTGTGTTCTCACCTCATGTTCATTAGGCTGCAGTATATGGTATAACCAGGGAATATACTACTGTGTGTGTGTTCTCACCTCATTTTCATTAGGCTGCAGTATATGGTATAACCAGGGAATATCTACTAGTGTGTGTGTGTTCTCACCTCATCTTCATAAGGCTGCAGTATATGGTATAACCAGGGAATATCTACTAGTGTGTGTGTGTTCTCACCTCATCTTCATGAGGCTGCAGTATATGGTATAACCAGGGAATATCTACTAGTGTGTGTGTGTTCTCACCTCATCTTCATAAGGCTGCAGTATATGGTATAACCAGGGAATATCTACTAGAGTGTGTGTGTTCTCACCTCATTTTCATGAGGCTGCAGTATATGGTATAACCAGGGAATATCTACTAGAGTGTGTTCTCACCTCATCTTCATTAGGCTGCAGTATATGGTATAACCAGGGAATATCTACTAGTTTGCCTAGTTCCATCTCCACACTCTGCAGAGCACTGGATAAAGACTCTTCATCTGAGGGTTCCAGTTGCTGTGGATGGACACACACGTACACACACACACACACACACACACACACACACACACACACACACACACACACACACACACACACACACACACACACACACACACACACACACACACACATGCACACACAGGAGTTGGGTATGAAGGAGATAAACACATTTTCTGTACAGAGACTGTGAGTAAGATGACGTTGCCCTGAGACGTTGATCTAAGGTCAGTCTTGCGTTTTTCCTTCCTAATGGTTAGGATATGGAAAGGCTAAACTGACCTTGCTTAGCCTCCTAGATTGTAACTCACCAGTGATACTCGTCCCACCAGAAGGGATTCCGTCTCGTTGTGTAAAGCCTTTACATTACTGGCTACTTCTATAGCAGTGTTCCTGGCCATACTCTGGGTACAAGGCAATACAAACAAACTTGATATTAGACAGCTGGAATCACACACTCCTCATATCACTCCTCATATCACACCTCATATCACACCTCATGTCACTCCTCATGTCACTCCTCATGTCACTCCTCATTTCACTCCTCATATCACTCCTCATGTCACTCCTCATGTCACACCTCATGTCACTCCTCATGTCACTCCTCATGTCACACCTCATATCACTCCTCATATCACTCCTCATATCACACTTCATGTCACTCCTCATGTCACACCTCATATCACTCCTCATATTACACTTCATGTCACTCCTCATGTCACTCCTCATGTCACTCCTCATGTCACTCCTCATGTCACACCTCATATCACTCCTCATGTCACTCCTCATGTCACACCTCATATCACTCCTCATATCACTCCTCATATCACACTTCATGTCACTCCTCATATCACTCCTCATGTCACTCCTCATGTGACTCCTCATGTCACTCCTCATATCACTCCTCATATCACTCCTCATATCACTCCTCATATCACACTTCATGTCACTCCTCATGTCACTCCTCATGTCACTCCTCATGTCACTCCTCATATCACTCCTCATATCACACTTCATGTCACTCCTCATATCACACCTCATATCACACCTCATGTAACTCCTCATCTCACACCTCATATCACTCCTCATGTCACTCCTCATGTCACTCCTCATATCACACCTCATATCACTCCTCATATCACTCCTCATATCACTCCTCATGTCACACCTCATATCACTCCTCATATCACTCCTCATATCACACTTCATGTCACTCCTCATGTCACTCCTCATGTCACTCCTCATATCACTCCTCATATCACACTTCATGTCACTCCTCATGTCACTCCTCATATCACACCTCATGTTACTCCTCATTTCACTCCTCATGTCACTCCTCATGTCACTCCTCATATCACTCCTCATATCACACCTCATATCACTCCTCATGTCACTCCTCATGTCACTCCTCATGTCACTCCTCATATCACTCCTCATATCACACCTCATGTCACTCCTCATGTCACTCCTCATGTCACTCCTCATGTCACACCTCATATCACTCCTCATATCACTCCTCATATCACTCCTCATATCACATATCCTCTTGATGATGTCTAACCTCGGCTAACTTGGGGTGTGTCTTGTTGATGGCATGTGACGAGGCGTTGACGGCGTGAGCCAGCTCCTGCTCTAAAAGCCCATTGGTCTTGGCTGCCTCACAGATCCTGTGATTGGACAAGGGGAGAGGTCAGAGGGCACAGTTCTGTCTGCCGGCTGGACAGAACGTTTACAGGTACATTATTCAAGATAACAGTTTAAAAGGGAGTAAAATAAGGTGTGTGTATGTGTGTGTGTGTGTGTGTGTATGTGTGAGTGTGTGTGTGTGTGTGTGTGTGTGTGTGTGTGTACCTGGTGATGAGGTCGTCCGCAGCGCGTGCAACCAGCTGTACAAGGGCCACCTCCTCCTCAGTGGCCAGGTCCACAGACTGCTGGGAGTAGAGGTGAGGTCGCAGGGGCAGCTTGTCATACTTCAGCTTGTCCTCCCACGACTTCAGAGTGTTCTCAAACGCCTGCACATGGACACACAGGGATGGATGCAGGGAGGAGACACAGGGAGAAGACACAGGGAGGAGACGCAGGGAGGAGACACAGGGAGGGACACAGGGAGGAGACTCAGGGAGGAGACGCAGGGAGGAGACGCAGGGAGGGACA